GCCGGCGGCGGCAGAGGTGAGGCGGCGGGAGAGGTGGAGGAGCTGGTTGAGGTGGCCCTGAGCCGGTAGAGGGACCACAACCACCGCCACTGGCGGTTCCTCGCAGTGATTGCCGTTGTTAATGGCCATTGGAAGTTTTCTTTTTTTTCTTTATTTTTTTTTACTCTGTTTGATTAGTGTGATATCTTTGGTCAGACAAATGAGAGATTTTAGTGGTTTTTTTATAGACTTTTTCTTCTATTCTTGGTGAGCGTGAGTTGTTAGAAGGAAGGTTCTTTAATTGTGTGATTGGAAAATGCAAAATTCGGGCACTATGATGAGAGATAATTCAAAAGCGGATTTGTACTTTAGACTTCCTCTTTTTTCTTACCAGCACGGCGGGTTGGACTCGTTGACGTGTACATCCGACCTATTGACTTGGGTTCCGATCATCTAGACAGAAATAACCCGGCAAACCGGTCGGGTAACGGATTCCTGTCTGATAGGAAGATTTTAATATTTGAATTTGAAATTTGTAGATGTTTTTGGGTCCGACTCAATTCAACGGATCCAACATTAACTTTTTTTATCTCACTCATTGAATTTTGTAGTTGGATGGTCAGAATTATTGACTTGGGTTCGAAAATTATCAAGAAAAAATTACTCGTCAAACTCGTTGGGTTCCCATATGATGGGTAGATTTTAAATTTTTATATTTGAATGTGAAATTTGAAGATGTTTTCAGTCTGACACGGATCCAACACTAACTATTTCGTCTCGGTCATAGAATTTTATACTTGTTTGAAGATCGACGATCGAGACCTAGACAAGTATGGTCTAACATTTTACTATATTTTTTTTTTCATTTTTAAAAGATGATGGACCCCCGAGGCACTTGCATGTCTGAAGTTTGAAATTTTTGAATTTTTCATCACGTTCGAAAGTTTTAAAATTTATGATTTTAAAGTTAATTTAGATCCAATTATAAACTATCGAGTCCAACAATAATCTTTTGAGCTATGTCGTAATATATTATAGATGTTGAGAGATCTCCGATCAACGGTCTAATGGGTTTGATCTGAAAATCATCGAAATCATTGAAATCGCTGAAGTATCTCTTTGATTGAAAGAGTATCATAGCTATAACAAGATTATTTCTAGTGGACTTCGCTACTAAATGGAGGGATATATGCATTTTATTCTTTTTTAAAAAATATATATATTTTTGTGTGTGTGTGTGTGTGTGATGGACCTGACCCATCAAACTCGGCTCAAAATTGCTAGAACCAAACTGAACCCGTACTTAAACCCAACGGTTCCTAAACATAAACTGCCAAACATTCGGATCGAAGATTTGTAAATCCAAGAGGACCTCGACACGCTGTGTTGGGCCTAGAACCGGCGGGTTATGCAGTTATCGACAGTGTAATTGTAAAAGTAAAACACAAATTCTTAAAATTACAAAGCTTCCACCATTCGCACATGTATCCTAGCTTTCGCACATGGAAAAATATGATGGGAACATAATATTTTTCTTTTATTCATTGCATTTTAGATTATTTTATACTGGAATCTTTCTTGCTGAAATTTGGTGATTTTGTAATTTGTAATGTTATGTTTATAATAATAGTCTAGTCCTGAAATCCTGATTTAAAAAATTACGAATTCATCGTGTTATTCTAGAAGCAGCTTAGCCCCACTTAACCCCCTAAACATATATATTTTTTGTGATTTTCAAAGACAGAATAATTGAGAAGATGACTTATAGTTTTGCATAAACAACACGACAGTAATTAGATGCAAAGATGTAGCAAAACACTAGCAGCCAGTAAATGTTTTATTATTATTATAAGTTGTATTTTTCCTCTAAATATGCCCACACCTCTATTATTTTGTCCACCATTTTCAAACCTTTTATGGCAAAGGTGATCCCAACCTCAAGGC